TKGCGAAAGATAGATTTCCTAGAATTTCWCAGCAATTGTGAATGCATTGGAAAAAGATATTTGGAGAACCGTGTACAAATATTGTTATATAATTAATTGAAATCTAACGATTAGTCTTCGCGATTTCCATAGAATGGATTTGTGTGTGTTTGTGATCGTGGTAAAACCTCTTAAAMTTGTCGTCTAAGATACAAGAAGTCTTTTCCATTTAAATCGAGAATTCAATAATTTTTAAATAGTATTGGAACCGATTACTTTTTCAAGCGTAATGTACCACATTAATCTGACGAGTTGTAACCTGCCGTTCCATTAAATCGAGTAAAAATCTCGCAAAAAGCTTTTTGCGATGGATAGATTATTAGCCGAGATATCGCCGAGATAGCCATTGCATTCATTGAACTCCTAGCTTCGTAAACCAAATAACGAACGCTCGACTTGAAAGCTTCTTGAACGCTTTTTGTATCATCAAACTTCATCATGTGTAGTTTTTTTTACATGCGTGCTTTTCTTGTTCCAGAAGTTTTGTTTTTTTTCATTAGACACTTGCTAGCGCTCTTGTAAGAAGGCATTTTTAATTGAAGTAATGAGCGCAATGAAGGACGAACTCAATGCCGTGATTTTTCCTGCAGTGAAACACAGATAAAAGACAAAGCATTCAAACATTCACCACACKTCCTTAACCTTTCACACGTATACGTCGTCAATTCTGGTTTTAAAATGTGTTCCGATTTTTAGAGCAATGCTTTTAAGAATTACAAACTTAGAGATGGACAAACATTGGGTGGAAAACTAGAATGAACACACTGAGAATCCGATTATTTTTTTTGCAATTCATTTTAGAAAGTACCATTTTAAGGGCCAGCCCTGAAAAAAAATAAAGAAAGTTGATGAAGCAAGGACAGTTGCAAATCCATAGGCAAAAATGAACAAAGAGAAATTTCGGCTGGACAATGTCAAAAATCAGCCGGGTCATCAAACACTAAAATAGCCTGTAACTTTTAGGAGCCGACAGGTTCTTAGGAGAAATATATCTGTTCTTATGTCCCAGCCATCAGTAAGTCACAACTGGTTTCCAGCGAGAAATGTAGGAAGGAAGAACTCTCCAGGCAAGGAATACTTTCTAAGAATGTTTGCCAGTATAATAAAAATTTCCCAGCTTAAAAAAAAAGAAAATACATGCACAAGCCTGCATTTTTCACCATAGCAACTGAGCGTTATATAAGCCTTTTTTGACCTTAAAAACGTGTATCTTGGTTTAGCAGGAACGAAATTATTTAAAGAAGGAAGGTCGCCCCATTTGCTTGTGAGGTTGTGAACAACGTAGCTCAAAATTCCTCTTCCCAGGAAAGAAATTCGTACAAGAACAGTTGTTTAGAAGAACAGACCCCGTCGACTCGTCCTRAACTTTGCTATAAAGCAAGAACTGTGCGGAGACGTTTCCCATGAATCCTGCTGAATCAAAATGAACCAAATTAAATTTGACCAAAAAAAAAATTAAAATTAGAAATAAAATAATGAAAACAAACAACACAATAACAAACACATAACGATAAAAATCATGACAACATTTGTGAATCTCTGAATCACACTAGGATATATTTTGAGTATATTCATGGATCGCACTCAAATCACATTYACAGCTCCATTCTTCTCAACATTTGCAAATTATACTCTATCACACTCTTTGCTGACTCGAATATCACTGATGATCCAATGAACCAGGTCTTTTTATCTCCTTGATTTTCAGCAATCTTCCATAAGATTCCCTCGGCGAGTTTCTTTTCCGAAAAGCGTGGAAAGTAATTCCACGTCTTCCTCTTGATGACATTGACATCTTCCAAGCCAAGACGTCTTTTGAAGAGTTTGTCGAATTCCTCGGTGACTTGACAGGTTTCCTCAGGAGGGTTATCTCCCATCTGATATGAAATAAAAGGCATACTTGAGTTGACCAGCTGTTCCGGTGTGGGGCATTTTCCGTTGATCACTAATTTTGTATTTCTTCGTGCCCACACGGAATGTTCCCTTTTTTTAAGCACGTTACTCATCCAGTATTCAATTGGAGAAGAGACAACACAGGGTTCTTTAGATTGGAACAAAGAAACTGTAAACCATGTATTTCGGAGATGGGAGAATTCATTTTCTAMAGGGGTTGTGTCAGTGAGGAGAGGTATTGCTTCTCTTGCATCTGCTGCCCATATCATGAAGTCAAACTGCTCAGTTTTCCATTGGCCGTCGTTCAGCCTGATCGTCACACCATTGCAATCCCTTTCGATTCCTTCGATCTTGACATTTAAACGGATATCGGCAAAGGTGGCAAGCTTGTCCGTTAGTTTTTGGTAGCCTTCACGAAACATATCGCTGTTACTCTTTTCCGCAAACCCAAGGCCTAACGCAATCATAGCCTGTATAAAATCTGGCGTATTCCAAAGAAGGCCGTACACCGCAGAAATGCTATCTAAATGGTCATAGCCTTGGATCGTATGAACGGACAGAAGGACCGGATACAGAGCAAGAAGGCGGTGGGTTCTTAAGAATGCTAGAAATGTCTGGTTGAGTTGGGAGAGCACTTCAGTGGATGGTCTATGCATCAGCTCGCCCTCATATTTGCCAAACATTTGACGGTGAAGAACGGAATACCGGTAGGCGGCATCGATCAATTCTCCAATGGCTTCGATGGTATTACTAGCGTTTGTCATTTTCTTGATTGTACCAATGACATAAATCGGGAATTGCAAAGGCATTGGAAGCTCATCCAGCCATACAGTTACTCTACTCGGTCGGGGAACAAAGTCATCGACGCCAAGCTCTTTCGCAAGAGCGTAAACACTTGTTTGGTAATTTGAGCCAGTGTAAGCCGCACCAAACTCGTTTGGAACTCCATCATGCCATACACTCATGAGTTTCCCGCCAACGCGGGAGTCTTTTTCAAGGACAACAATTTTGTCGAAGCCTTTCTTTTTGAGGAGATATGCCATTTGAAGTCCCGACAAACCTGCACCGATGATAGCAACGCGATCACAGGGTCGTGGTTTGTCCTTCAGAGGGGTAAAAGGTTTGCCTTTTGGCTCATCATTTCTATCGACAAGAGCTTGGAGTTGCAGAAACTTTTCTTTTATCTCATTTGGCATTTTAAAAAGCGCTTTTCCAGCAGCAACAGTAAAGCAGGCAAACATCATTGGAATGATGAATTTGACCATCTTGACCATGAACAACTATATAAACAAGAAAATAAACGAAGTGGTTAAAACATGAAATTACACCAAGCCGCATCATGGTGCATAAATTCTCTTTCATTACTCGGTTTCTTATAAGGCACAATGAACTGCAAGAATGTATAMATGCAATAATACTCACCCTGTATAAGCCTTTTTGAGACGGAAAAACGTTCGCTAATGGTAGTTGCGTATATCTGAACGAAGGGTAACGGTAACTCTCAAATGTCAAATGGCTCGATTCCTTAAGTATAAGTGTGCTTGATTCCTTAAGTATAGGTGTACTTTTATCTCGGCATCTGATGTTATCGAAATCTTTAAGAATAAAAGCTAATCAGGACAATGGCAGGCCAATCAAAATTTCTAGTCTTATAGAAATACATTGAAAGCAATGCAAATTGCTTCTGATGTTAAGAGAGATCGACTGATACATTCGCGCCACGAATCAATCACGAATTGAGATTACACAAGGTTAACAAATTAACGTTGCCGTTTGCAAGCACTGACTAAAATGACCTTCTCTAAGATACTGCTATGGTATAAATAGGCCCTTTAGTGTGAGCTTCGACAATATCAATTTTTTTGCGGCTCGACATCGTTTTTTTTTTCAGTTATGAATGTGAGGACGCGTGGCAGTATGAGAAACGTGATATTGAAATAAGGAAAATAAGTGCTTATAATTACTGATATCGATCGTAGCCCATTTTTTCACGTTGCCTGCATTATGCCTACGAAGGCTGCGTGCCTCAGTAATTATTTATTAAAGAAATTTTTTTAATTGAATATAAACTATATGCGACAAACAAAGCATACATATCATTTTTTGGTTTCTCTATGGAAAGAGCTTCTATTCTTGTTACTTTAAATTGTTATTTGTCGAAAAAATGAAAATGAAATACGTCAAAAACAAAATTAAATCGCGCGGGATCCCTGATTTTTCATTGAATTCAGCTTTGAAAGCGTTGGAGGATTCCACGCTGAACCCTTCACTATGTACGTCACAATTTCGACATCTCGGACCAATCAGCACACGACTTTATTATGTGATAAGGGATTCTAGTCTTAATTGTATATTATAATTTATTATTCCTTGATTGGATAGACATATTTTAATAAAGTCTTTATTTACTTATTTATTTTTCTATTAAAGAACTTGTTTACTCTGGGAGAAAGACCTGTGGAAATAAATTCGGAAAATGAATTTCCAACATCGTCGGGTCGTGGGTTCGAATCCCAGCGAGGTCGGAAATTAATTTTTCCGAATTTCTTTTCAGGGGTCTTTTTCCCAGAGTAACCAAGATCTAATCAACAAGTTGATCTAA